AGAGTATAATTCCATTATGGGTAAAATTTGTTTTGATAAAGTCTCACAGTAATGTTTACAGTAAACATTACTGTGAGACTTTATCAAAACAAATTTTACCCATAATGGAATTAACTTCACTATATTCACACATAATATTTACATTTTTGTATTTTGTGATTTCTATCTTGGCTTTAATTAGAGTAACTGCAGCGTTCGTTACAATATTGATTAGGTCTACTTTTGATGCATTTAATATCTCACAGCCTGGCACAAAATATCTCTTTTCATTTCTACTAATGAATTTTACAACTGGTTAATACTCCGAGTGTATTTCTTCCACTCCTGTTTGGTAATTACGTAGTATCAAATTTCTACGTAAGCGTTTTTCTATTTAGGTCCAGTAAGGACTGGGTTCAGCGGTAGAATACTTATCAACTAAGCATGCGGTCTGGGCTTCGATCTCCGGTCGACGTACTCCTAAACTTGACTGAGTCTATAAAGAGAGAGAGAGAGAGCTGGACATGAAACTAGCAACTCCATCGTGTAAAAATAAAATCACTGCTGCCTAACCGGAACGTAGAAGAATAAAATAATGAGAGAAAGCTGATGGTAGAAAAGAATAGATGACGAAATGAAAACTAATCGACTTTCTCTAACTCTCTTCATGAATTATTATAGAAATTTTTGTGTTTCCCAGTGCATGAATGAAAAACAAAACGATATTGTTGTTTTTGCTGACGTTTCGCTATTTGATGTTATAGGTTTATCAAAGTATTATTAAACCAGAATTCACAAAATTTCGGCTTGTATATAACAACTTAATCATCGTTTCTCAGTATGGGGTCATTTTTCGTTGTCAAATTGGCCAATTGGTAACGATAACAAAACCAGGTGTACATTGTTGGATTTGATAAGAATAGAAAATTACAAAAAGCAGCATGGCTTTACATAATGAAATTAATTATCACATCCGTGTTGATTTTGTCATTTCATGAGTGAGGGGGGGGGAGGGATGTTGTAACCAAGTTCAATTCTGTTTTAGTCCATCATTCCTACTCACCAGACAATTTGGATTCCACTTGATATGACGTCCCTCTGATATTAGACGTTCTTTCTGACATCTGAAATTTTTCTGGACGATGATTTCAATATTGTCAAAATCACTTTTGTGGCCCGATTCTACAGCGTGTAGACCAACTATGGCTGTTGATTTTTCAAGCTTTCCTAGTTCAGCTGAATTTCTCGGTGGTCGAACAGATGCCCTACGGTGTTCATGTCTTCTCACTACGATTTCTGGCGATGTTTGTCCGTTGTATATCGCATCAGATTCCAAGCATTTTATTTCATAGACACAATCATATGGAGAATCTTTCGGGGTTTTGTCTTTTACATGGACAAGGTTGCTTCTCACTGTGTCTGACTGATGTTGTGGAGAAAACTCTGATATCGAGCTTATTGATCACTCTTCTGATATCGTCTGAAGTCTCTGAAATGACAACTGTTGAGGTCCACTTCTTCGGAATACATTTTCAACCATATTTAATGTCAGTGTTGATTTTTTTGTTGAAGTTCTTTGGGTAGTTATTTTCCTCTTTATAATAATAATAAATCTCTTCATCTCTGTTAGCGACTGTTTTTGGATTAAATGCCACTGTTGAATACAACAGTCCCATCTGTTCAGATGTTGATCCAGTTTATATTAAGCCATCGTATATTAGCATTTTACTGATAATTGTGCTTTGACTTTCATGCATAAACTAGAGACATATATATATGTGTGTTTATGTACCTTAGTTAGCACCTTTAAAAATTTCACTATGCAAATAAATAATACAGACTTTGGATTACTTTATAATGATTTTTGTTCACTTCGGATTTGTTCTCATTACCTTTTATGTTTGTGTGTGTGTGTACGTGTCGGTCTGTAGACATGCTACATTACAAAGTGTTCTTACGTAACTAACTGACTAACTAACTAACTAAGTTGAGAAGTACTTTATGCTAATGACCTAATTTTGCAAATTTTTCTGTGTTTTAGACATTTTCACTTCCTTTGGTCACATTCAGTTAAACAGTGTGAAACACTGAGTTTTTTCTTCATTATTATTGTTATACTTACAAGTCCCCAAATATGGTTTACACTTTTATTTTATTGTGTATATTTATTTATGTTAACTTCAACCAGTGAAAAGGATGTGTATATTTCTCAGATTACTTAATTCCCCGGTTGTGTCACTAAAAACACTTGAAATGAATTCCCATATGAATTATTTAGCATTTATTAAATAAAGAAGTCAACATAATTATCATATTTATTGAATCAATCTAGGTTTGATTATGATTAGCATAAAACAACTGTTGTGATTTAATGCATTGTGTTGTTGTACTCAAAGGCAGTTAAAAAGTGAAGTGTTTTTTTAATTGCTTAGTTCCTTGCTAAACTACAGGTGAGCACCAACCAGTTGGCAGAAGAGACACGGTGAAGATAAGACTTCATACATACAGAAGATCGAGGTGATGAAGACACTTACTGACCACCACCAACAAGAAGAAGCATCAATCACCATCAACTGGATAGATCTAAAGCGAGTCAACTTCTTTACTTATCAAGGTACTGTCGTCTCAACTACAGTCGGTACGAATGAGGATGTACAAGGGAGGCTTGCAAAATCCAGAAAGGCCTTCACTACTCTGATCAAATCAATTTAGAAACCTTCCGAATTCAACATAAAGAACAAGATCCGGATCATCAACACTAATGTCAGTTTAGTGCTTCTATATATATGGTTCAGAGAATGAAAGCACTGGCGTCATCAAAAGTATCTCCAACAGGTGTCTTCGCTTGATACTGAAGATCCTATGGCTGGCCAGAAAAGATTAGCACAAAATAACTCCAGAGAAGGACCCAAACAAGAACCTCTTCCCCAACAAATACGCCGAAGAAAAAGGAGACGGATCGGACACTTTCTGAGGAAACCGTCGAGTGGAGATAAATGGGAAATGATGAATTTGACCTTGGGTTCGAGTGTAAAATAGAGGAGATGAAAGCGTACGGGCAATCGTGGAGTCAGCTGATAAAGATTGCATAGAACAGGATGAAACAGGGATGCACTTCAGGAGTCGTGTGTTCCACTCAGAGCCGAAGGGGATAATATTAATAATGATAACTACCAACTGCACTAAAATGAAAATGCTTGTTAAGTACGGTTTTATTTTATTAAAAATTAAAAATTTCTCATGTTTCTTATAATGGATGTTCACATGCAATAATAAAGTTTTAATTTGGGCAGTATAAGAACCATTATTAGAATTTCTTCATTCACTTGTTTAAAAATAGCAGTCATACATATAATAATGGGTGTGTTGCCTAGGTATTCGTTTTTGTATCCATAACAATGTTTCATTAGATCACCTTTGTGTTGCATGTATTGGTGGTGGTGGTGATGGCACTGATGAATATGCATTCTTCCCTCCAATTTGTTTATATTGGAATTGGAAAAAAAGTTGTTCTAATCAGTATTGCGTTTCTTGTTATCCCACGCATTCTCATATTTATAGATTTACTAAGACATGTTATTATTTTAGAAACTGGATTTCTAATAGTTCATTCAGCTTGTACTGAAGAGCAAGGTATACAGCATTTGACTTTTAAATAAATCGCTTCTATACATTTAATAGGACTTACTTACTTTACTTTACTTCGGCTATCTCCTACGGGAGGATTAGCCGGCTTCATGAACATCTCGAATCATCGCTGCCCAGGCGCGGCGATAGAGTTCATGAAGTTTCATGGGAATTTGGTACGACTGATGTCCCCAGAATCGCTCGGCCTTTTGTTTAAGAGTGCACCTCCAGCCTTTACACAGCCAAGTGTGACCTACAAGGCAGTAGGAGTGGAGTAGGGAGTCCACTATGCATTGGCAGCCGGTGACCGGAGTTCGGTTCATACGCCTTTTTGAATGGGGCCAGACATCCAGGACATCCAACAAGCCGTTTGTCCATACGTCTGCCGGTGAGCTCCAGTGAGTTTCATACGCCAGTCGTTGGAGGTTTGGAATCAGAGTTTAGCCATCTCCCCTAGACTGTCATCCAATGGACAGTCAACCCGGTGAAGAGCGCCGGGCATCCGCTTTCGCCCTCCCACTTTGGTTAAAAACACCTCCGCCACGTGAAGGCAGTGAGTAGGACTTCCTCAGGAGAGGTTGTGTAAGACGCCCGGTCATATGGGAGTATTTCAAGAGGGGTGGCCAACCAGCAGCGCAAGGCACCCACCCCCGACCATCCTGAGGCTTTGGAGGCATTTAATAGGACTACTCAATATTTGCCTGTAGGAGAAGTCATTGTGATTGAAGAGAGAAATTTGTTGTGCAACCGGATTGTACACACAATCCTTTATTCAGTAGTCTATATCGAGCATTCTCAACCGCTTGGCTGGTTATGCACTAAAACGACAATCCACCTGCATTGTGAATGCCATTGTAATAGCAGAACACGGTAGTATTTGGTAGCAAATTGATGTACTGATACAGATACCTTACATTGAATCCTCCATTCGCACATGTTCTCTGTATTTCGCTTGTTTTGTATTACTTTCATATTTACTATTTTATTTCACAAGGACCATTCACTTCTTTTGTCAGTAACAACACCCTCCACACCATTCATAGATTATTAAGGTTTCTGCCAGATTTGTTCAGGTACACACACTCTCTCCTGTGTATATTCATACCAGTGGGTGTTATTTTCTCAGTGGTATGAAATAACTTCACATAGGAGAAAAAGGAACACCATATGGTCTTCGAATATTATCAATTGACTTATATCATCCATCACAGAAATAACATTCATGTCCTAACCTTTGATGTCTCTCTTCAATTATTGAGTTCACGGCATCTGTGTTAACCTGTCATATTTTCACATCTGTTATGTTGTTTTCTTTTGTTATGCACATCAGTACTGTTATTATTTCATAGAAACAATGTTTTGTTGTTGTTTTTTCATCCCTTCGTATTGTGTAGGAAGAAATTTATGTTATTTCTCGACGAGTTGGATTCACAGATGATGTTGAAGACAATGAAGAGAAATCGAATCAGAAGCTTATTCGTCGTGATACACCACATTATACAAAACGAGCTAGAATCCAGTCAAAAACTGCTGATGGAGGTAATTTAATAATAAGCATTTCTCAATTATTAATTATTTCTGTATTTGTAGATTATAATTTTATTCTTCTGGTTTTCCACCATTTCATTTTCTTCGACTACCTACCATATTCTTTGCTGTTTCGAAAGATACTCTAAGGTTACAGCTTACTCTCGTTTACTTCATGATGGCATGGGAGAACCGGAATTGTACATCTTTTCATGTTGTTAGATGGTTGAAGTTAGTCGGCAGGATGCCCTAGCTAGACCTAGGTTTTGTGCTTGTCGGCACTCATCAACAGGGCGTATCTGTAACCTTGAATGAACTCATTTCCCCTCCCCAACGAACTCACCTTGTAACCGAAAGGTCATGTGTTCGAATGCCAGTGGGTGTGCACTGATGAAGAGTATTGAACTAGGACGAAACAGCAGTACACAGTACTCCTAGGTTTTCCAGTGGTTCTGTAATTGATCTTAACTCGTGATTAAACCTGTAAATACCAAATAGGAAGCACCTGGTTCCTGTAGTCAAGTAGATTGTCATTACAATGCCTTTCTGTGTAGTGATCATTGGCTTTCAGACGTTTATGTAGTTATTCTAACATCTTATTTATTTCATATAAATGTTTGAGATTTTCTTTGTGATATTCTTATCAGATTTCGCTTTCATTTTACTGAATTCATATTTAAGCTAATAATTAGTTTGCAAACATTTCCTTAAAGCGCTTAAGAGCTTCATGTCTTTGAAAAATATTGGGGAATAATACATACAACACGCAGGTGCATGAAGCTCTTCTTTCCCTAATACACGTTTAGTTCATGGACTTAAATCGAAGGCTTCCTCACTGCTAATGAAGCCCATAGTTGTAAAGTTACATCCATGAAATCTCTGACTGTTTTTTGTAACCGATGTATGCAGGAGTTGTGTCCGGTGAAGTTAAACTATAGCGACCCATGAAATGCTAACCCACAAGTTACCTTGAGGCAACCAATCGGAAAAACCAGTGTATTTTACATAAACTGACAAGAGAAATACAGCGAATGGTGATTAAACCCACTAAACAGGATATTTTTTCCATGACATAACTTAAAATATCTCTCAGTTACAACGAGTAGTATAAGTTGTTAAGTTGAACCAGTTTCTATGCATGTATTCACTGAGGTGGCCGTAGGTGAGATCTGTCTGTGACCTGTTTAATCGCTCTTATCATGTTTTTTAAGTGCTCTCCAGATGCCCTCAATTGAATTAGTATGGGTTCCAGTAGGGGGATCGACAAAATCATCTAAATGATTCACTCGATAATGGATGAAATATGCAGTCTTTAATATATCCAATAATGGCAGATAAAAAGTAGATTTGTCAACGACAGTTTTGATTCAGAAAAGAAGTTTCCAGTCTCAGTGGGAATATCATTACTTACCTGGAATATAATAGGTACATCCAGATAACGAGTCAAAAATAGAACATCTTAGGACATCAAGATCAAATTACATCGTGTTAATCTCCAGACATTATCGAAGCGTTGGTGGGAGTTGAGGGGTTAACAGAGGCACCCAGCATTACGGTTCAAACATACATCAATCAACGGGAAATACAACTTAACTTACATTAAATAACCTCTATTAGCCGAAAAATGTGGTGAGTTAATGTTACTAATATTTACGTCTACTGTTGTCAAAACCAATAGAATTTAATTGGTGGATGGTAACTAGCGGAATCCCATGATGCGGATTTCGTCATTGGGTGTACCTGCATTCCCCAGTGAGTGGTGATGTTCCCACCGAGGCTCGAACCCAGTGTCCATAGTTTCAAACGCCAAAGCGTTATCCACTAGACCACTTGGGCCACAAGAGCCACCTCTTGTGCAACGGGTCATATTAGTTATTGAATTGGATTTTAGATTTTTCCGTCGATTGATTGGACCGAAGTGCTCGGTCCACCAATTAAATTCTAATTACATGCCCAGACATCGCCGAAGCATCTGCACAAGAAGCCGACATATCAACCTGAAACTGAGCACTTTGATACAATCAATCGACGGGAAAATCTAAAATTCAATTAAAAAACAATAGAAGATAGAAATCTAATCAATACTTTACTGAAATCTCATTTGTTTTCCTGATATATATTACGTCAGAAATCTTGACTTCATAAAATGTTATTGCAAGTGATTATATGTGTATATGCTCATGAATATTTTTATATCAATGCCTTCTTTCATCCCATGATTTGTTTTTCTAAAGTGGATAGTGAAGAGGCAGTTTTGAAAATCTTGGAAAAGTATCGAGCATCTGTTTCACCGAATCCTGATTCAAATTCAACTGAAGTAAGTATTCTGTTTATTATTTATGTTTTATTCTGTTGTCCAGAGGATTTTCCTCTTGAATTTGTTTTTTCTTCTATATATCGCCAATGATATAAACTTCTGACTATATGTTGTTGCATTGCTGATAGGTGCTTAATTTGATTTAAATGTTTTTTATTATTGTGTTAATTTGAGGTATGCATTTAAGTGAGTTTCTTCGCAAGTGTTGATTTTTGTTGTAAGGATTTTGTTTGATTGGTTCGAGGATTTCATCGCGACTAGACAGCTGCTTCGTCCGCCTGGTTTGGGCTCTTCACCAGCACGCACCCACCGCCAGGGTTCGAACCCAGGACCTTCTGGTTACAAGGCCAGTGAGCTAGTAGGCCATTAAGCGACTGGGACCCGATCCAATGGCCAGCCCATTAATTCCAACTTCTGCCGACTCATGACATAGCGTGACCACTTAGCAATATTTTTGATGAGTTACTGCCTCACCTTCAACCTGCTGCACCCTATTGGTCGCGGCTTCCCACTAGAACCCCAGGCTTTACTGCCTGAATAGGGCCAGTCGTTAGTGGGTATCATGTCGGTTTTTTTATACTATAAAACTCTTCCAATGAAAACTAATAAGATAACAGGGATGATGATTCGCCCCACCAATAAACAAATTTGGAAATATCCTGTTAGTGATATTGAATGTATCAGGCAACTGTAGTATCCTACCTTCATTAGATGGTTCATTCAATGAACAGGTCAATCTTATTTGTTTTTTCATAAAAATTGGATGTTAGCGTGACGTTATTTTTGAATTTGTATGTGTAGCACTGTTTTGGATAACAGCATAATATATGTTGCTAGGCTATTTACAAACACATTGGATTAATTTTACCGAATTGTACGTTGGTGATTCTTTAGTAGAATGCATGCCTGTCACATACGTGGTACAAAGTTCGATTCTCGACCAATGTACTCCTAAATCTCACTTAGCGTGTAGGGGAGGGGAGATTGGACGTGACACTACTGAAATTTCAAAGCCTTAAATTCGCTTGAAACCGTACGTTACACTTGGAAAGCAGAAGGAATGAGGATTTCTATTTTTGTCGAATTACCAGTTCACTCATAATTTCTGTGTGCGCTTGAAACCACCTAGCAGTATGGTTTATATCGTCAACTCACAGTTACGGTACAAAAAAAGACTTCTTTCAAATCGTGGAAAATATCCATCAGGACATTAGACAGAGAGAAAAAACAAGAAGTTCAGCTTAAATATATTTTCTGCGATTTCATCCTCAATTATTTAATTCCACATAATTATGAAGGAGATTAAAGGTGATGATAACTTTCAACTTGAAAGTTTGAGGGTGTTAATATAGATTAAAAAGGACTTAGAAACAAAACTGGACAGGATTAGAAAGTAGTTTTCAACGAATACAGGTGTGAATGAGATGAGTATGGAATCAAATTGAAATAATAATATTATTTATAACTGAAAACGGAAACAATATCAGAAGAATGAAAAAACAAAGACGAAAACTAACGAGTCAAACTGAACTAGATCTATGGTAAATGTAGAGGTCAGACTAGATTCTTTTGAACACATAGCTCCGGTTTCTCGATGCTTATGGCAAAAGCTTCTTCGGTATAACAAAAAAAAGCCGGAAACACACTGCCCTCGGTAGATTTTTGTTTACTTCCTAAATGACTGTGACTTATGAGTCAGTTCAAATGCGTTGGCAGGTGCTGACGATGTGTTCAGTTACAGCACTTCTGATTGAACCAGTACCTCCTCTTTTCAGTCATGCTGGGTAGTGTTCTCTAACGTATTTGGATAGAATCCGCATAGACGTTTTGGCTGTTTACTTTTAGACCACAAACACTTACTATATAAGTCCATATTTGAAAGAAAAGGAACTAGACTTATACATACGCAATTATCGAAGCTTGTTTTTTTTAATTTCTATCGGCCATAAATCTTTGAGGTTCTCGCAGTTGTTTAATGCAACTAGTTTATAAATTATAAATTATCATCTCATCTGTCAATACCATCATTGTCTATTACTTCACTAGAAATAAATATACTTACACTTCTTCCCCTCCAATCTATCATCGTATTAATTTATGAGGTAAAATGATTCTTTTTCGCATTAATTATTGTCAATGTGTGCTGGTGCGTGTTTGTACTCTTCGAAAGGTTCTAGACCTTGCTATCCCAGTTAGACGTCTTTTTCTCGCAGTCATCGTGTCATTGTCACTGTAAATCATGTTTTTTTTACTAATAAATAAAGAAGCTGTTTGAAATATGGTCATTTGGAACTATGACGTATCATCAGTTATTGATCAGGGTTATATGTATGATTCCATGACTCTGATTGATTGATTGATATGAGTCGTTGGATAACTGTTTTGCTTGTTTGACGCCGAGCTTATCAACGGTGTTTGTGATTTGCCTCTTTGTTGAGAGAAGCTAAGAGAGGCAAGTCAGTTCATATCACCTAAATTCTGACTAGATACTTGAGCGAATCAGTTCGCAATTTGCAGTTTACACAATTCGAGGAGGTGAAATTTCACCACAGTTTCCTTTGGTAACTGAATTTATTTAGGTCACAATACGTGATGTGCTCGGTAACATAAATGGCAATCGAGAAAGCAAGCATAGATGCATTTTGTCATATACTACTAGTTGTGACTGACGTGAGTAGTTGGGTACCAGTCATATTATCTAGTAGTAGTGCCAGCTGAATAATGTCGGTTTCCAAAAGAAACTGGTGAAATTTCACCTCGAACAGTGTTAATTGCGAATTTGATGTATGTATAATTATATGAGGCGACAGACTCTTATCTGACTCATCGGTTTCAGGTAGGCTTTTCAAATGAAACCTTGAAGCAAAAAAAACTAATTTGTCTCCACGTCTACTAGTTAACTGGTCAGAATTCATTTATCCAGAACAGATCTTCAAATATCAGGCTATAAGCCAGACTAATTGTTTAAGGGCTGATGACACTACCTACTACTCACCTAGATTGAATTAACTGGGATGGGAACTGGACTCGGAACTCAATCTCTGAAAGTCAAGCCACCGCTTCAGTCCTATAAACAGGTGCACAAAACCACAACTAAAGTGAATGTGCTCAGATCTTAGCCTTGCCAATATGAATGAGGTTTGAATGAAATCATAATAACTTTCCAGACAGATTAGTTAAAGTAATGGTTTGATATTGGCGATAATTTAATTAATCTTAACGGTTTGGTAGTGCCTTGGTCGTGCAAATTATTGACTACTGTTTCTTTTACCATATCATTTGAATATCTAATTCTTGTAGGTCGATTAGTGTGGATTAACTATCTAGGTTTTGCAGGATTTGTTTTACGAAACTATTTAAAATATGTGTTACCTGGGAAAATGTGTGGTTCATTTGATTCAGTCGTTAGTTTTCAACCAGGTCTCAATTCTACAACGTTGATTTCTGTCTAGAAGTATGAAGAGTGCCATTAATAATGTCAGTAAAAAGTTTGGGCGTTGTGGAATAGATCAAATAAATTAATAATTATATTTCAATAGTTTACACACAATGATAAATTGTGTTTTTTTTGTTTTTGATAGTTTTTTAAGCAAAATTACTGACCGTGATTACACCTACTGAAACAAACAAAAAACTTATTATTGTGTGTTAATTATCGAAATATAATATTATAATTTATCAGTACAATTATTCTTTGCATGTTACATCTTTCTTAGAGTTTATTACATTAAAAAAAATCGGTATTAGATAGGTGTATTGGAAAGAAAATATTTATTTGTTTTCACTAAATAGCAGGAAAACCCCGCTCAGTTTGCTAGCTCGCTAGTTTTCTGGCCAGTCCCAAGCCCGGGTAAAGAGGGAGGGTTGAGCGTGGAGCTAGCGACCCTACCCGACAAAACTAATCAAACTGCTACAGAGACTTCAATCCACAATAAAAATATTAAAAATATATAAGAAACAAACTTGTTCTTCGCTGTAATCGCAGAGGCGAAATGACACAACGGACTGGTGAAAGCCTTCAGGATGCCAGTCAGCCAACCGATGTGTGCTCTGTCGACGAAAGCGAAAATAAGAATGGCGATGTGGAATGTACGTGCAATATACGAAGCCGGCTGAGAAAGCTGCCTAGGTAGCCAAAGAAATGAAAAGATATGGTATAGAAGTGCTGGGAGTCTGCGAGAGCAGATAGAATGGGTGTGGACTGTCAAAATTGTCAACTGTAGAGTTAGTAATCTACTTCGATCTGGACACCCAGATGAAAACCACGAGCACACTGAGACAGTGATTGGCTATCATGATGTCACCAGTGGCAGCCAAAGCCCTAATGCTGTGGGAACCAATAATAATAAAATAGTAGGAGATTAAAACAGACTGTCCAGATGAGGCTAGCTAATAAAACATAGAAAGCACGTACGTTGATACTTTTCAAAGAACTATATTTATTGCGTTAAAGATAGCGATACCATATGGTAATAGTCGGGGATTCAAAAACATTAGCCAACCACTGGTTAAAAATCAGGCACATAATTTTAAAAAGCCACTCTCTCCCCTATTACAGTTCCATTGTAAAATAATTGTTTAACTTCATTATTTTTTTCTAAGCTGTGCTTTTTCTTATAATAAAAAGATTTATCACTTCAAATTTCTACTTAGGCTGACAAAACAGGAAAACGGTTTGCATCGCCATATAGTAGTTTATGCGCTTTGGATATTCCTTTGCAAACTCGTGAATTGAGTTCCCCATCATCTTTACACCGGCAACCTGCTCCTCTTATGCAAGAACAAGTTGAAGTGCATATTCATCGTCAGTCTGGTGCTGGTTTAGGCTTGAGTGTTGCTGGTGGAGTTGGATCAATACCATTTCGTGGTTCAGATTATGGAATATTTGTTAGCCGATTAAATCCCACAGGACTGGCTGCTGCTTCTGGACTTAAACTCGGAGATAAATTGTTAGAGGTCAGTTAGTTAGTTAGTCTTGTTTTGAATATTAAAGCCTTTTATTATTTAGATGAGCAGCCTAACTGTGTATAATTCTTTTTACCTGGTTTTGGAATTGTCTAATTTTTTTTATATATGTAGGTTAATGGTGTTAATCTTGTCAATGTTGAACATCATGTGGCTGTCGCTGCTTTGCGTGCCAATACCAACTACTTCCGTGTAATTGTTGCTCGTGATATCAATCCGTCTAATAAATCAGATAGTGTTAAACTAGTTTCTTCCCCTTTGTCCATTTCAACAACTACAACAACAACAACTGGCGGTGTCGCTTTGTCTACTAATTCTCCGGTGAGTTATTGGCTTTGTTTTTTTTAAAAATTTTTTCCATTGTTCTCATTTACTCTTTGCCATACATTAGAATCATTAAGCCGTACATATCATATTTACTGTTTTACTGTTTATGATGAAAAAATTACACTGGTAATGCTGTTGTCTGAACTCTAGCAAGTCGCAACTCAACAGTTTAAATATTCTGCAGATTTTCTTCCTTGACATTTTTCAGTCAGTGGATTCCGAATTCGAATCCTTCTTTACTGACTTCAACCAGAGCAACTGGGTATTTTCATTTGGTCACAGTGTAGCACGTGAAAAAAATTTGTCTCCAGTGAAAGTTCTACGACAACTATATAAACAGTTTACCCATTTAATTATTTCAGCTCACGGGAATATTTGCTATCTGAGTTATATTCACTCTATATTCTTCATTCTCCAATTCGCTAAGCGGTTAAATAAAGCTGATGACTGAATGTATCACATCATATTTTACCTTCTCCTTTCAATGGGTTGTTATTCTTTATCACTATTTGACACTTTTAAATTTCTTAATGAACTGTATTCATTCATGCATTGAATAATCTTATTTGTCTTATTTATCTCAAGTATGGGTGTAAAATCACTTTAAAGATAAGTTTCGTTTACGAAAAGAAATCATTTGAATGGAAAAATCGATTGTGATTGAGTTAGAGAATTTAATGTCTTCTTTACCAGTAATGTACTAAAGTCTATGAGTTTACTCTTAGCCTTAATGTCAATTTCGTAGTTAGAGAGAAATCTAACTCCATTTCTAGTTCGATCACAAACAGAATTCAGTTAGAGAACCACTGGAAAACTGTTTCATCCTAGCTTGTGACTCTTCGCCACAGTACGCACCTATGATTCCACTGAGGAACCCATGACCTGAAATTTACGAAGTGAGATTGTTGACCGTTCAACCACCGTAGTAGAATTCAATGGCCTGTGAATTCTATCTTTTGTCAATTCTTGATTTTTAACGCGACCACAACCTCCGACATTGGATGGTGGTTGGTCATTGGAGTGGTTGAAAATGGTCAGTGATCTCGCTTCTTAACCTGAAGATTTCGAGTTCGATCTCCAGTGAACTCGTGGATGTGTGCTGATGAAGAGTCTTAAAATAGGACGAAACAGTTGTCCAGTACTCCATGGTTTTCAGTTGTTATGTAAATGAGGTGAGTTTGTAATCAAGCTTGAAATTACTCAAATCTCTGCAAGCCAATGCTTAAAATTCTAATGTAGGTTGGAGAAAAATTTGAAAATAATATGGGTTCAGTGACACCGTCTCTCGGGAATTATTTTTACATCTCGAGGTATAATTAAATATCTTCCAATCGATTTCAACTAACTAGTCACATTATAGCATTTGAGACGCACAGTGAAAATGAATCATCCACATATGTTTACAGTTTAAATTGAAGTGATAAATGTTTCCTTTTGTTTGTCGATAATCAAATGGATAAGTTGCATAGCTTTGTATCATTGAGTTTGAAAAACAAAGTCAATTTTTGACCACATTTCGTAGTGTTTATTGTAAAATAAGTTGGACCATTTGTTAAAACTTGAATTTGAATTTCTCGTTGATTGATATTATTACCATTTTTTCCTTTAATTCCTAGAGGAACATAGGACTTCAGCCGCCAGTCTCCATTGCGTTCGGTTCTCTGCTAGAGTCTTCACCTGGCTCCTCTTTACATGACCTCCTCCAAGTCACCCTTGCACTGACGACCAACTCGCCGCTTCCCTTTCGGGTTCCACTCGAGCAATGGCTTGTCTAGTGATGTCATTTGATGGTTTCCTCAGAGTATGGCCAATCCATCTCCATTTCTTCCTGCTCATTTGTTTCACAATCGGTTCATGGTTGGTTTGCTCATTGCCAGAGATCTCTGTTGCTGATCTTGGGTATTGAGAGAGGACAGCTGTTAATGAAGGTCTGTAGTTTGTTTTGAGGTCCTCTTTATGTCGCGCCAAGTCTCTGATCCGTATAGTAGCACTGACCTCATAGTGGAGTTGAAAATCCGGATCTTATTTTTGACGCTGAATGCTGTTGACCTCCACACATATTTGAGAGAAATGAAAGCTTGTCTTGCTTTCCCGATCCTCGCCTTGATGATATCCTCATCAGTTCCGTCTGCCTGTAGTTCGAACGATGCTTCCAGGGAAGGTGGTAAAGGATGTTGTCTCTTTCAGGTTCCTCCCATTTATGCTGATTGTTGTCTGTTTTTGTTGTTGCTGTTGGTGGTGTTGCCCGGGAATCTTCATCACCTCTGTTTTCTCTATGTTCACCTGAATGAATTCCTATCTTTGATGCTTCTTCTGCTAACTTGTTGCTTTTCGCTTGCATATCTTCCAGTTTGTGGGAAATCAGACATATATCGTCGGCGAAGTCCAGATCCTCCAAGTTTTTTGTGTGAGTTCATTTTATGCCTGTTTCCTCATTACCCGCTGTTTGTCGCATTATCCAGTCTACTGCAATCAGGAAAATCATTGGCGATAGTAGGCAGCCAGCTTGTCTTACTCCTGTCCTCACTTCGAAGGATTCCGTAAGTTTCCCGTTGTGGATTACTTGTCACGCAGCATTGTCATCCAACTGTTGGATGAGATGTATAATTGTCGGTGGCACCCCGTAGTAGCGAAGTAGTTGCCAAATCACCTCTCGATCGACGCTGTCAAAGGCCTTTTCAAAGTCAATGAAGTTGAGATAGAGAGGTGACTGCCATTCCAAGCTTTGTTCAATGATGATCCGTAATGTTGCGATTTGATCAATGCATGACTTGTTTCTCCTGAATCCAGCCTGTTCCAGTCGAAGTTTTTCATCCAGGTTGGCATGTTTGATTCTCTCCAGGATGATGCGGCTTAGTATTTTGCTTGGGATTGAAAGGAGCATAATTCCGCGCCAGTTCTTGCATTGACTTAAATCTCCTTTCTTTGGTAGTTTGAATAAGTAACCTTTCTTCCAATCATCGGGTACTTTGCCTTCTTTCCACGCCTTCTCCAGTAGTAGTGTCATCAGGTCCGCTGATATCTCTGGGTCCACTTTCAGTGCTTCTGCTGGGATTCCGTCTGGTCCTGCTGCTTTTCCAGTTTTTCGCAAATTGATATTACTTAACGGAAATGTTTGCTCTGTGTAGACATGTTGACGCCTAGCACGCCTACGTAGTCTTTGACGGTTCCCTCAATGGATTAAAACCATATCACTTCGTGGGCGATAGCTAGCAACGAAGTCTCGGACTTGCTGGAGTAATGTCCCAGTATCCCAGTGAGACTGTGACATAGTTCGCATCAATTTGAACTTTAAAATATCGTCTACTGGTCAGTCTACTTAGTCACGAGAGCACAATTCTTGTATCATTAGTACACGAGGCCTCCAACTTCTGGTGTCTTCTAAATTATTGTCCACTAACCAATTGGTTAAATGAAATAATAGGCACCATGGCCGGGGGGGGAGGGGTATTCGGTAATACGTAGTATTCCCATTCTTTTGTGTATTGCATATCAAAATATACGTTGGAGGATAAATATTGGCATAAGGTTTCCTACGCTGAAATGATGCTTAGCTTTTTCCCATAGAAAGAGAATTAGGCGGAAATCGTCATCATCATTATCGTTCTAATTAAATTCCATTCAGGATCATTTTTATTTTATTGTCTCTCCTTCCTTTCCCTTCGCACCCACCCACTCCCCTCACCTAATTCTCCGTTTCTTTCTCATTGTTCGTTTTTTCATATCTGTCCTTCTGCTTACATCCGTTTATTTTGTTAATAAAACTAGAATTATGGTATATAAAAAAGAAAGAAAAACAAAAATTTCTTTTCCTTAAACAGAATTTCACAAATGAAATTTCCTAATTTATCACATGCTTAATTTAAAATGATAATAATAATTGAAGTGCTTCGTGCTTTCGTCTAATATTAAATTATTCGAATAATTGAATGGTTTAATGATTAAATAATAATCAGGTTAATTTTTAACTGGTATATTCTGAAAATACATGTCACGGTAGCCAATCACAAGACAACTGCTGTGTAGACAGAAGGTACAAGGAAACTTGAAAAACAGAATCATCATAAAATTCTCCATCTGGGAAATGTATTCCTGCTTTCAATGTAGATTTTTTCACGAACTAACTAACTGATTAAAAGTCAGGAATGCACTGGTCAACTGTTTCGTCCTGGTTTTGGACTCTTCATCAGCGTATGCACTCACGACTCTACCAGGGATCGTGACAAAATCTGCACTGAAATAAATTAATATTTCCACAATGAAAAGAAAATAATGTCAATATTCCTTGTTTATGTTCTTGTAGTTAAGCGTAGCATAATAAGCTCATCATTTTTCCCATCTTTAAATAAGAGTTAATGCAAACATGCATCAGCACTCTCGTATGTTAGACTGGAGATTATAGCCATGGTGGCGAAATTTATTCATTCCTAAGTAGCTTACATATAAATTACAATCCACGGATATAGCTGTGATAGAAAGGCGACGTGATAGTAAACACCAGGTGCTTAATGAAATTCATTGATCTCAAATGTTTGGTCGATATCACCGTGTTGTGTGACAAAACACAGGCTTCGTTATTTAATAATTACTGTCTCTAAGTATGGTATGTGCTTTGCATCGTCCAAGTGCAAAGTACTACTTCTACGGGATAGATAAGAGCCTGTGTTTGCATTCGTTATTGGAAATTATGTGCTCAAATCAATAAAAATGCTCCGCATATTAATGATTAAACGTGTAAAAAAAGAGATTTTTGATTAATCTTTGAAAACCACAGTTGCTCATACTAACTCCATTTACTTGTGACTCATTGCGTAAATGTTTACAGTTAGCATTTATTGATATCTCAAGACACTTTAGTTGTTAAGCTGAAGAGATCGTGTGACTCAACGAGTCTGTTGAGAGATCTAGCGCATTGATAATCGTAATGCTGGATTTCTTACCGTCTTCCTCAACAAGCAATGTCAGACGAAGTTAGATTAAGCTTAGTAAAAATT